TCGTGAAATTGGCCAAATTGCAAATTTCTGACCACATTATTAGGTAGTTGAAATCGGTAAATGGGCAGTTTCTTGTACTCAATCGATAGAAAAAATGGAGTTCGATAGAAAAAATGGAGTTCTAAAGAAATAGCTATGAAGTTGGGTGACTGGAACAATGAAATTAGCCGAAAATAGGGCTCAAAGTGGGCGAAATCGCCGATTTGTAAACAGTGCCGAGGTCGCTAACTTCGCGAGAGCATAATTCCGTCAGTTTTCCATTAAATTTCATTTTTTTGGTGTCATTACAATCGGGAAAAGATTCTCTATCATTTCATAAGAAAAAACAATTTTTTTTTAAATTTTGCGACACCAGGAGACACCTCAGGATTGGGGGTTGCGACAGTCAAAGGGTTAAAGGAGGGGTTTGGGATATTGGCAGTTTGGAGGGATATGTTGTGTATCTTTATACGTATATGCTTCTAAGCTGTTGTATTCTGAGCACCTCTGCAAAAGCAGTGATAATGTGTGAGTGTGGTGAAAGTGTTGAATGATGATGAAAGTATTTTCTTTTTGGGGATTTTCTTTCTTTTTTGGGTCACCCTGCCTCGGTGGGAGACGGCCAACTTGTTGAAAAAAAAAAAAATAATATATATATATATATATTTTATTTATTTATTTATTTCACCAGTATACATGCTATTGTCCCCTACTGCCTGCTAATCGAAGACAGCCTTGTGACTACAGTCGTCACATCTCAGTGGTCAGTCGTCACATGAGGTCACAGGCCCTGAGCTGCTTTGGGGATTAGTGTGGATGGTTACAATGCATGGCTTGCTTTTGAGGTGTTTTAAAATTTGAGGTTGGAGAGTTGAAGGAGGAAGTCTTGCTTCTCCAGGAAATTAGGAGGCTGAAGGTTCACCTCAATGGGTTTGGGAGTAAGTGTGAGGTGGCTGGAATGGTGGAGGGGAATGAGGTTACCAGCAGCGAGGTACAGTCTGTCACTCGCTGCGAGGAGACTGTAGGTGGGAAGGTAGTAATGGCTACCAGCAGTGAGGTGCAGTCCAGCACCTGCTACAAGTGGCAAGTGATTCCCAGTAATGGGAAGAGCATCAAAATAAGGAAAGTTAAGAGATAAGATTTGAAGGTAGGAAATCGCTTCTCTGTTCTTCAGGATGAGTGTACTTCAGTGGCCAGTGAAGGTAAAGGTACTACTTCCCCTGCAAATAGAGGTAAGCGAATCCTTGTGGTGACTCACAGGTAAGATATATGGACTGTGCTTTCTGTAACAGGAATAAGAAGGTAAGATAGTGTGTGCTTCCCTGGAGCTGGTGTTAGTGACATAGTCAACAGGTTGGATAATATCATGTCAGGTAATGGGAACAAGTCTATTATCTGTCTCAGTGCTGGTGGAAATGATATTGGGAAGGGTAGGAGAGAAGAGCTGCTAGATAAGTACAGGTCGGCTATAGATTTAATTAAGTCTAAGGGAGGGGTCCCAATCATATGTAGCATCTTGCCTAGAAGGGGAGTGGGCATTGAATGGTTGTCTAGGACAATTGGTGTAAATTGCTGGCTAGACAGATACTGTAAGGAACTTGCAATCCCATTCATTGACAACTGGGACAACTTTTATGGCAAACATAATATGTATGCAAGGGATGGGGTACATCTCTCTGGGGCAGGGGTGGTATCACTTGCAAACTCGATCGAGAGGGCCACTGCTGAAATGCCTAGGATTTTAAACTGATAGAAGACAGAGGTATGGGTGTGTGTGGGAAACAGGCAGGTTGCAACACTAGGGTTGAAAACAGTAAATGTATAAAAGACATTCATCATGAAGCTATAAATAAAGACAATAGATCAGGCCAGCAAACATAGGGAGATAGCAGAGGGCAGCAAGGGACTAGCTCCCTTAAGGTTTACTATACTAATAGCAGGAGTGTAAGAAATAAGATAGATGAGCTAAGATTAATTGCAAGTGCAGGAAACATAGGTATTATTGCTATAACAGAGACCTGGTTCAATCTGAAAGATAGAGAGATGCCTTCTGAATGTCACATACAAGGCTATAAATTATTCCACACTGACAGGGTCAACAGGAAGGGTGCTGGAGTAGCAATGTATGTCAGAGACAATTTAAACTGTGTTAGACAAGATATAAAATTAGAAACGTCAGCCACTGAATCTGTTAGGTTCCGCTTCTCAAGAGCCATGAAAAACTAATTTTGGGTGTGATTTACAGGGCCCCCAAATCTTGATAGGGAGTGCAGTAAACTTCTATGGGACGAAATTCGTGAGGCATCTACATACGAAAATGTTGTGCTAATGGGAGATTTCAACTATAGACAGATTGACTGGAGCAATTTGACAGGAAATTTAGAGTCAAGTGACTTTCTTGCTACCATTCAGGATTGTTTTTTAAAAACAGTTTGTGACAGAACCAACTAGAGGAAATAACCTGCTTGACTTGGTTCTTGCCAGCAGGGAAATGCTAATTAATAATCTTGAGATTAATGATGAGCTTGGGGAAAGTGATCACAAATCACTCAGTTTTAATATACCATGGAATTCCCCTAATAATGGCAATGAAGTCTCTGTCCCTGACTTCTACTTGGCTGATTTCATATGACTGAAAAATTACTTGGGTGGGCTGAACTGGAATGACCTGACTATGGGTCAGGTAGGTGGTGATGATTGCCGATATGACGTTTTCCAGGGCATAGTTCTAGCTGCTAAGACAACTTGTGTTCCAAATACGGAAATCAGATCAAACAAAAATGATCCTAAATGGATGAACAATAGATTAAAACATCTCATTGGCCAAAAGAGAGGCATATATAGGCAAATCAAAAGAGGAGAGGGGCAATTAAGAAATCAATATACATGTATTCAGTTAGAGAGAGAAATTAAAAAAGGAATAAGAAAAGCAAAAAGAGATCATGAGGTTAAAGTTGCAAGAGAATGAAAGACTAACCCAAAAGGATTCTTTCAGGTATAAAGAAGTAAGATCTGGGACAAGATAGGCCCACTCAAAAGTTACTTGGATCAGCTCATGGACAGTGATAAAGAAATGTGTAGAATTTTTAACACATACTTCCACTCAGTTTTTACACAGGAAGATACTAGCGACATTCCAGAAATAATAAATTATGTAGAACAGGATGATAATAAACTATGTATGATTAGGGTCACAAGTGACATGGTCCTTAGGCAAATAGATAAATTAAAACCTAACAAATTCCCAGGCCCTGATGAACTGTATGCAAGGGTTCTAAAGGAATGTAAAGAGGAGCTTAGCAAACATTTGGCTAATCTTTTCAACATATCACTACAAACTGGCATGGTGCCAGATAAGTAGAAAATGGCAAATGTGATACCTATTTTCAAAATAGGTGACAGGTCCTTAGCTTCGAACTATAGACCAATAAGCCTAACCTCCATAGTAGGAAAATTTATGGAATTAATAATTGCAGAGGCAGTTCGTAGCCACCTTGAAAAGCATAAATTAATCAACGAATCTCAGCATGGTTTTACAAAGGGGGGTTCCTGCCTTACGAATTTATTAACTTTTTTTCACTAAGGTATTTGAGGAGGCAGATCATGGTAATGAATATGATATTATGTATATGGACTTCAGTGAAGCTTTTGACAGGGTCCCACATCAGTGACTGTTGAGGAAAATTAAGGCACATGGAGCAGGAGAGAAATTTTTTCCTGGATAGAGGCATGGTTGACTATAAATAGGCAGCAGAGAGTTTGCATAAATGGGGAGAAATCAGAGTGGGGAAGCGTCACGAGCGGTGTTCCACAGGGGTCAGTGTTGGGCCCACTGTTGTTCACAATCTACATAAACGACATAGATGAGGACATAAAGAATGACATAAGCAAGTTTGCCGATGACACCAAAATAGGCCGTCCAATTCATTCTGATGAGGACATTAGAGCACTCCAGGAAGATTTGAATAGACTGACGCAGTGGTCGGAGAAGTGGCAGATGCAGTTTAATCTAGACAAATGCAAAGTTCTAAATGTTGGACAGGAAAATAATCATGCCACATATAAACTAAATAATATAGATCTTAATATTATGGATTGTGAAAAAGATTAGGAGTTCTGGTTAGCAGTAATTTGAAACCATGACAACAGTGCATAAGTGTTTGCAGTGAATTTAACAGAATCCTTGGCTTCATATCATGAAGCATAAATAATAGGAGTCCTCAGGTTGTTCATCCCTGGTTAGGCCTCATTTAGATTATGTTGCACAGTTTTGGTCACCGTATTACAGAATGGATATAAATGCTGTGGAAAACGTACAAAGGAGGATGACAAAGTTGATCCCATGTATCAGAAATTTTCCCTATGAGGACAGACTGAGGGCCCTGAATCTGCACACTCTAGAAAGGCATAGAATTAGGGAGGATATGATTGAGGTGTATAAATGGAAGACCCTTCTGGCAAGACAGTGATGGAGTGAATGATGGTGAAAGTTTTTCTTTTTCGGGCCACCCTGCCTTGGTGGGAATCGGCCAGTGTGTTAATAAAAAAAAAAATAATAAATGGAAGACAGGAATAAATACAGGGGATGTAAATAGCATGCTGAAAATATCTAGCCTAGACCGGACTCGCAGCAATGGTTTTAAGTTGGAAAAATTCAGATTCAGGAAGGACATAGGAAAGGACTGGTTTGGTAACAGAGCTGTGGACGAGTGGAACAAACTCCCGAGTACAGTTATAGAGGCTAAAACGTTGTGTAGTTTTAAAAATAGGTTGGATAAATACATGAGTGGGTGTGGGTGGGTGTGAGTTGGACCTGATTAGCTTGTGCTACTAGGTCAGTTGCCGTGTTCCTTAAGTGAATGTGACCTGACCTGACTAGGTTGGGGCATTTGCTTAAGCTGGTCGGAGACTTGGACCTGCCTCGCATGGGCCAGTAGGCCTGCTGCAGTGTTCCTTAATAGGATAGAAAGAAACCTGCAAAATACTTAACATTATTTCTGTATTTGCATGGACTAACTTACCATAAATTAAGACGACAGACTCCTCAATGCTGGTTTGGTATGAAAATTGTGAATCAAGCAGCTGTGTGGTGATGAAGTTGCCCAGTTGTGTACTCTGGTACCAACCAACACTCAGGTGATCTACATTAACCTTCCGCAGATGACGCATCATCTCAAGCTGATAATCCTCTGCCGAAACACACACATGCAGTAATCAAACAGTAGAGTAGCTGGCAATTTCAAGAACAATTTAAAGTGTGATAAATTTTTCAGTAAGTGTAATTCATCTACTTCTTTTACAACTTATCTGGGCTATGAACTAAATGACTGGGAACAAGCAAAAACACACATTTAAAAAATTAATGAAGAACAGACTCTAAATCAGACTAAAATCTGATACTTCAATGGACATGCTGTTTAGTATCAAGCTTGGCTTTAAGCAATTATAATTTACTCATTATTACATTAAGAAAGGAATATTATATTAAAACTGATAAATGGGTCATAACTTCATACGACAAGCAATGATAACAACCATCTATGAATTAAGGGAGAGAGAGCTTTACAGATATCAAATTAGGTTTTGAGCTCAATCGCTTTTATTAAGTTACCAAACGACAATAATAAAGAAGTGTCTTGAAGAGCAAAATGAGAAAAACAATACAGTAACTACATTTAAACTTAGTTTGAGTTTAGTGATCTTAGAAACCCTTCATGAATTTTAATGTATGTAAATTTGTAACAGACTGCACAAAAACCAGTGAGATTTATGTTGCTACAATACATTTATTATGTTGCTACAATTCAGTACATTAAAACTAATTTATTGTAATAAAAATTTATCATGGGTGAAATGATAGGCAGAACCCTTTGCTCTGACAATCATCTTGCTCCTTACAGAGGCATAATTAAGACTTGCACTGCCTACATGCATAAAATTTAATACAGTACTTACAAAATTATGTCACTGGGATTCCTTTGCCCATTTACAGTGGAACCCCGGATTTCGCATGCACCAGATATCGGACTTTTCGGATTTCAGACACTTTTCGTGCGAAATTTTGCTTCGAATTTTGGACCTTGACCCGGGAATTGCACATATCAGACTCATCCACCCATCAGGACGCTGCTTCAGTCTGGCTCTGTCACTGGTTGAGTGAGCATTCATCGTGCATTTTCGTGCTTATTTATTGTGATTGTGAAATAAGCCACCATGGGCCCAAAGAAACACGATAGAATTAAAGAAAGAGATTGTAGAAAAATATGAAAGTGGCATGCGTTTAACAGATCTCTCTGGACAGTTTTTTTGTGCGACAGGGGTCCAGTGACTCTCAAGCTGGTCCTAGTGCCAGTAAAAGACAAGGAAGGGAAGTAACCCTAGAGAGGGCTTTGATACCTGAAGTTCTTATGGAGGGGGATTCCCCTTCCAAACAATAACCTTAACTCCCTCTCCCATCCTCGCCTTCTTCAATATGCCAACAAGTGTCTTCAATAAAGGTATGTAATGTTTATATTTATTTATCATTGTTTTCTGTAAGTAAAACTATAGTTATTCTTTAAAAAATGAATTTTTTGTGAATATTTTTGGGTGTCTGGAACGGATTAGTTGTATTTACATTATTTCTTATGGGAAATGTTACTTCGGTTTTCGCACTTTTCAAATTTAGAACGACCTTCTGGAATGGATTAAGTATGAAATCCGGGGTTCCACTGTACATTTAAATTTGTGCAAAATTTGTCTCCTCTGTGCAGTCTGATACCCCATGTCATTTGTAATAAGTAAGAGCAATTTTTTTTATGGTAATCTTGCTTTGACTTTGTTGGGGGGGGTTATCCTAGATAATTTACACATATGTTACTATGTATTATAATTTGTGTAAATGTATTTGTGTACCTGCACCTAAATAAACCTACTTATTTAAAAATCTTCATGTATTTACCTTCATCGACATCGTCAGCATGGCGGGGGAATGGGAAGCAGTTGGTGATCTCCAGTCTCTCATCAACCACCAGGCCCAGCAGCACACCTTGAGCCACTTCTGTGTTGCCTGCACCTTCTTCATGGCAATGCTTGATGATCTTCATCAATGCCTGTAAAATACAAAATGAGAGGAACTTTTTTTATTGTTCTACATATCTGTATTTAATCTCTAAAGATAAAGATTTTATTTCTTTGCAAAGGTTACAGTGTGTAATTACAATTTTGATTTGTTAAGTACAGTGGACCCCCGGTATTCGATATTAATCCGTTCCTGAGAGCTCATCGAATACCGAAAATATTGAAAAGCGAATCAATTTTTTTTTTATTTTTATTAACACACTGGCCGATTCCCACCAAGGCAGGGTTGCCCAAAAAAGAAAAACTTTCACCATCATTCACTCCATCACTGTCTTGCCAGAAGGGTGCTTTACACTACAGTTTTTAAACTGCAACATTAACACCCCTCCTTCAGAGTGCAGGCACTGTACTTCCCATCTCCAGGACTCAAGTCCGGCCTGCCGGTTTCCCTGAACCCCTTCATAAATGTTACTTTGCTCACACTCCAACAGCACGTCAAGTATTAAAAACCATTTGTCTCCATTCACTCCTACCAAACATGCTCACGCATGCCTGCTGGAAGTCCAAGCCCCTCGCACACAAAACCTCATTTACCCCCTCCCTCCAACCTTTCCTAGGCCGACCCCTACCCCGCCTTCCTTCCACTACAAACTGATACACTCTTGAAGTCATTCTGTTTCGCTCCATTCTCTCTACATGTCCGAACCACCTCAACAACCCCTCTTCAGCCCTCTGGACAACAGTTTTGGTAATCCCACACCTCCTCCTAACTTCCAAGGACAAAGTTCTTTGTCTCCACAGACTCCTAAGTGCACCGCTCACCCTTTTCCTCTCATCAATTCTATGATTCACCTCATCTTTCATAGACCCATCCGCCGACACGTCCACTCCCAAATATCTGAATACATTCACCTCCTCCATACTCTCTCCCTCCAAACTGATATCCAATCTTTCATCACCTAATCTTTTTGTTATCCTCATAACCTTACTCTTTCCTGTATTCACTTTCAATTTTCTTCTTTTACATACCCTACCAAATTCATCCACCAACCTCTTCAACTTCTCTTCAGAATCACCCAAGAGCACAGTGTCATCAGCTAAGAGCAACTGTGACAACTCCCACTTTATGTGTGATTCCTGAGAGCCATCGAATGTCGAAAATATCGAAAGTCGAATTAATTTTCCCCATAAGAAATAATGGAAATCAAATTAGTCCGTGCAAGACACCCAAAAGTATGAAAAAAAATTATTTTACCACATGAAATATTAAGTTAATGAAATAGAATAATTACAATAACACCAATAACAATAGAATAATAACAATAGAATAACTGACACTTACCTTTAATGAAGATCTGGTGATGATTGATGGGATGGGAGGAGGGGAGTGTGTGGATGGTGTTAGTGTTTAGAAGAGGAATCCCCTTCCATTAGGACTTGAGGTAGCAAGTCCTTTTCCGGGGTTACTTCCCTTCTTCTTTTAATGCCACTAGGACCAGCTTGAGAGTCACTGGACCTCTGTCGCACAACAAATCTGTCCATAGAGCTCTGTACCTCCCATTCCTTTACGATTTGTCTAAAATGGGCCACAACATTGTCATTGTAATAGTCACCAGCACGGCTTGCAATAGCTGTCTTAGGGTGATTTTCATCCATGAAGGTTTGCAGTTCAACCCACTGTGCACACATTTCCTTAATTTTTGAAGTAGGCACAATGGATTCCACAATTGGCATAGGCTTCTCAGGGTTAGCCCCAAACCCTTCAATATTTTTCTTAATTTCCATACTAATTCTCACCCTTTTTACCACAGGGTTGGCACTAGAAGCTTTCTTGGGGCCCATGGTGACTTATTTTGCAGAAACAAGCACCAAAATCAGTGATAATATGGAATGTACTGAATGTATCCTTAGATGAACGTACACTGGCTGGCTTTTAAACACTGGCACGCACTGAGCAGTTCAGGCCACACGTGGACACGTTTCGTACAAATCGCATCGAATACTGGGTTTTCGATCGGATACCGAGGCGAAATTTTTGCGTTAAAATGCATTGAATACCGGATTTATTGAATACCGATGCCATTGAATACCGGGGGTCCACTGTACAAAGAAAGCCACTGTCATCCCGGGGCATTTTGGGCAGACGTAACACATGTGGGCATCACCACAGATGTCATTTTCACTGATGTTTGGTACAATTTTAGACAATACCATGGTAAGCATAGAAAATCAATTTCAAAATTTCCAGACAAGATTAATTATTTCTGACAATATTTCACTATGCAGCTTCCAACCTCATCACAGCTGCCAGGTCCTCCCATATGTTTCTTTTACAAAATTTTTCTTTATACATTTAGTAATTTATACAGACGGGGCCTAGTAAACAACGCTGTTGCTTCACACACAGTGAACGTGGTTCGATCCCTGACTGGGTGGAAATACTGGGCATGTTCCCTTACACTTACTGTCCCCACTCACCTAGCAAGAAAGTAGGTACCTGGGTGTTAAGTCACTGTTCACCTAGCAAGAAAGTAGGTACCTGGGTGTTAAGTCACTGTTCACCTAGCAGTAAGTAGGTACTTGGGTGTTAAGTCACTGTTCACCTAGCAGTAAGTAGGTACCTGGGTGTTAAGTCACTGTTCACCTAGCAGTAAGTAGGTACCTGGGTGTTAAGTCACTGTTCACCTAGCAGTAAGTAGGTACCTGGTGTTAAGTCACTGTTCACACTAGCAGTAAGTAGGTACCTGGGTGTTAAGTCACTGTTCACCTAGCAGTAAGTAGATACCTGGGTGTTAAGTCACTATTCACCTAGCAGTAAGTAGGTACTTGGGTGTTAGTGGACTGGTGTGGGTGGCATCCTGGAGGACAAGAGTGAAGGACCATAATGGAAACGAGACAGTCCTCGATGATGCACTTTCTTGGGTTATCCTGGGTGCTTAACCCTCCTTACCCTGGGTTATCTTGGGGGGCTAACCCTCTGGGGTTAAAAATCCGAAGAAAATCTTATCTTGACTGTGTCAGTACTTTCAGGACTCATTGGTGGCCCAGTGGTCTGGTGGCTAAAGCTCCCGCTTCACACACGGAGGGCCCGGGTTCGATTCCCGGCGGGTGGAAATTCCGACACGTTTCCTTACACCTGTTGTCCTGTTCACCTAGCAGCAAATAGGTACCTGGGTGTTAGTCGACTGTAAGTAAGTAAGTAAGTAAGTAAGTTTATTCAGGTATACACAAATACAGTTACATAGAATTATCATACATAGCAGCATATGTGTAGAGAACCTAGGATAACCCAAAAAAGTCAGACAGAGTGACTTATTTCCATTGGGGTCCTTTTACCTTATTATTATAGTATAAAGGTTATAATATTTTTTATTGTTCTACAATGAAGATAACATCTTATTATCCTACTAAAAAGACTATCTGCGACACCAAGGTCATTAAGACTATCTACAATACGAGTGTCATTACAAGGAATAAGGTAAAATTTACACGTATGTTAGCTAAAAAATAGAAAATCATTCCCCTCCCTTTCTGTAGCTACAGTCATCAGACACCTTTTGGCACTCTTCTTGAACTGGTTCGCGCTATGACTGGCTTTGACATGTGCGGGTAGTCTGTTCCATTCCTTTATTGCTGTACAATAAAAGGTGTTTGAAGCCTGGCCACTGACTGTGGGTACTACAAAGTTGTGCTCTCTCCCCCTAGTTCTATGATTGCTTTGGTTCCCAGCCTTGACAAAATTGACGGCAAGATATTCTGGACATTGCTTGTGAGCAATTTTATAAACGTGATTTAGCTTCAGTGTTTTACTCTGTCTTCAACATTCAGCATATCCACCTGCTGTAATTCATCCTGGCCTACATGTTCTCTTGGTCCCAGCCCCAGGATGAATCTTACGATTTTGTTCTGGGTGATTTGCAGTCTATCTTTCAGTTTTTTTTGTCAAGGCAGAGTACCAAGAAGAGCAAGCGTAATCCATATGGCATTGTATAAGGGCTAGACATAGAGTCCTGCGAGCCTCAGTAGGTAGACACTGTGCTTGTCTATACAGGAACTTCAGTCTGGCATTCGCTTTCTTTACTACACTGTTCCCTATCAATTCTCCTGACATGCTTGGGTCAAAGGGGATTCCCAAATATTTTACTGATGAAACCAAAGTGATGAGCTCCCCATTACATTGAACATTAAAATTATTTACCCTTCTCAGTTTATGTTTCGTGCCAAAGAGAATGGCTTCAGTTTTCCCTAGGTGTAATGATAGTTTGTTGTCTACTAACCATTTGCTGCAGGACTCCAGTTCCAGTGTTAAAACATTAGCAATATCTTGTGGGTCTTTACCTGACACTAACAGCGCACTGTCATCTGCATACAGTAGGAGTTTGCACTTGACACTGATAGGCATATCATTGACATAACATAAGAATAATAAGGGACCCAGAATACTACTTGGGGAACTCCACATGTTATCGGCAGGGGTTCTGATTCTGTTTTGTTGATTTTGACTATTTGTCTCCTATTGCTAAGGTAGGACTTAAACCAGTCTACAGAACCTATACCGATAGTTTGAAGTTTATTACATAATATATTGTGGTTGACAGTATCGAAGGCCTTTTGCAGGTCTAAGGTTACCATGCCTATGAGGTTCCCCTTTGACATTTCAGTTCTCAGGTAATCCATCAGATTAATAAGGGAGGTGTCGGTTGAGTAGGATCTTCTAAAGCCCGATTGATAGCTATGGAGAATGTTGTTGTCATTAAGGTACTTAACTACTTGAGAATACACCGCCCTCTCTAGAATTTTAGATATTATACTGAGTATACTAACAGGCCTATAGTTGCTTACATCAGACCTACTATTTTTCTTAAAGATAGGAGTAACTCTGGCCTCCTTGAACCCCTCCGGTACTGTATTAGTGGTGATTGATAGATTTATTATGTGAGCAATAGGGATTGACAGTTCAGAAGCACCATCTTTTAGGAACTTAGAGGGGATGTTATCGGGGCCTGTCTCTTAGTTGGGTTTAACCTGCTTAGTTCTTTTTGAATAAAGTCATGAGATACACTTACTAGTTGACAACTGTTTGGGGTTACCCCTTTATTGGTATAGTATGTTTGAAACTTATCAGAGTCTGTGTTAAAGGTATTTGATGCAGCTGGTAGTTTACTTACTAGTGTTGATGCAACAGATGTGTAGTATGACTGGTGTGGGTCGCATCCTGGGGGACAAGATTAAGGACCCCAATGGAAATAAGTTAGACAGTCCTCGATGACGCACTGACTTTCTTGGGTTATCCTGGGTGGCTAACCCTCCGGGGTTAAAAATCCGAACAAAATCTTATCTTATCTTATCTTATAAAAAAAATTTTTCTAAATATATTTACCGTTAAATGAAGAGATGCAGCATGGGCAAGAGAATAAAATAAAAAAAGATTGGTAATTATTTATCATTATTATTATTACATTCATGGGGAGAGGGGAGCGCTAAACCCACAGGGGGCCATACGATGCATGAGAACTGTATATTTTTTCTATTATTCTCACACTGCCTGCAGTCCTCCCCAGTCTAGACCTTTTTTTTAAATACCTTATACATTTCAACCCCCCCCCCCAAAAAAAAAAAAAAAAAAAATAAAATGCCATTACAATAAGACCATCTGTCGCGGGAGTCAGCAACGTGACTCACCACTACTCACACAACTCTCTCACATATCCTCTCGTATATATATTCCTCTTATAACTATACAAAAGCTTGTGTCATTGACACTCACCAGGCCTTCCAGCTGCACCACGTTGATGATACAGCGACCATTTTCAGCCTCTCTCTTGCTCCTGCTGGTAGACATGTTTACAACCCGGCAACACTACAAGCCTAACATAAATGTCCACATTATAATGGTATTTTCTGCATTTTTAAAAAATTGTTATAAATAATAATAATAATAATAATAATAATAATAATAATAATAATAATAATAATATTATTATTATTATTATTATTATTAACCAGGACCCACACGTTACTGAATTCACAAACACAATGAGTAACGTATGTTGCTACCCAAAAGTAACAAAACCTACAAGAGTTACAGAGACTATGTTTCCTACTTGACCACATCTGGACCAACACCATATCCCCTTTAAAATCAGGCATAAAATTTCAGATAATACCACAGACCACTACCCTACTTTCCTCATAACAACTCTTGGTAAATTTAAACCCCAAGACAAACAAAAAGTAAACCTTCAGACTTCAAAAAGGGGCAGCCTTTAAATAACTTCAAAACAGCAGTACAAACTTTGACGGGCCCCCTTGAGCTAGAAATCAATACAGATATTGACGAATGTATTAAAAAATTTTCAAAAAAAGAACCCAAAACCTCAATAACAACCCATTTGCCCTAAAAAAACTAAGCAATGACAGCTAAGAGACTAAAACAGTCCGGCTAAAAACCCACTTTCCTCAAATCCTAAATAAAAAACCACCAAAAAAAAAACAGTACAAATGGGTCACAAAACCAGAGACCAAAAAAAACGTTACCCGTCAATCCTAACCGGGCCTGATAAGAAGGGAAAAAAAATTAAATTAAATGAGAAAAGATTTTTTCCAATTTAACGAGGTGAAAAAAAAAAAGACCGGGAAAACCCTATCAAAAATTCCCGGGGAAAACAAAAAAGAAACACAAAATACGAAAAAAAAATTGCAAAAATCAGATGCCCCCAAACCCCCCCAAACAAAAAGCAAACAACCCCAATAAATTTCTTCTCCACTATAAAACAAAACCTTCCCCAATAAAATCCCCAAGCTCATATACCCCACCAAATGACTCCCTCACGGGCAACTACCCGAAACCCAAAAAGTTTTCCCAGCTCCGACTAAACCCCTACGAAATCCCCCTTATTACAACGGGAAAAAAAAAAACAAGGCAAGATTTAAATACCTTACCACCCTTTATTAAAAAAAAAAGTGTCACAATGCTATCACCAATCATTGCAACCCCTTTAACAAATCCTTTGAATCCCCCCCTTCCCACAACTCAAAAAGAAAGGGTCACCCCGCCCCAAAAAGGAGGAGACCAAACAGATTTGAATAACAAGGCCAAATCCAACTTCACCCTCTCTCAAAAATCTTCAAAAAATTAAATTTTCAAAAACAAATCTACTCCAACCATCCCCAAAACATACTCAACCCGCCAATTTTTGGATTCAGGCCTAATAAAAATCTAAGTGCTTTTAACACATGCTAAAAATTTTATACACGCAATAGAAAAAAAAGAACCCCACGGGGGATCTTCATTGCTTCAAAGCTTTTGATACTTTTCCCATGCTTGCCCACGTAAAATTGTCACACTAGGTTAAAGGGGCACTCCCCAACCCCTCAAGTCATCCTCAGCAAGAAGCCAATAGGACCAAAGGGGGGAAAACTCTTTGCAAAACCCAATTTACTTTGGGTGTCCCACGGGAAGTGTCCGGGCCCCCTCTCTTTTTCTCCTATACAAAAATGACCTACCAAACTTCGCAATTACTAAAACCCACCTATTCCCCGGGGATGCACAACATACGTTTCTCCCACCCGAGCCCATCACGAACCCAAATACTGTAAAAACCAAATTTACAAAAAATATCTACCGGAGGGTACTAAAAAATTTACACTAAACATTGACAAAACCACTTCATTCATTTTGGTAACAGAGCTCAGATGCCCTCTTAACATAATGAAAAACGACACCATCACAAAGCAACAGGGGAAATTTTGGGAACCACCTTGATAAAGACTCAAATTCATAACTAAACAACAAATTTTTAAGAAAAAATTTCCCAAAACTGTAGGCAAAATATCGAAAATACGGTACTAGCTCCACATCGCCCTCCTGGCCCAACACCCTTTTTACCCCCCACTCACCTATGGAAATTTTGCATGGGGGTCAACACAAATAACCCTCAACCACTAATTACCCAACAAAAGGGTGCAGTTAGAATGATAACAAATTCTCACTCAGGGCCCTCCACCAATATTCAATACACTCAACCTACTCACCATACAAAACATCCACTTATTCTGACCTATTACATCATGAACACTAAAACCGAATTAAAACCCCCCCCCTCAAACATCTCCCCGCCACCTCACAGAAAAACTGCCAAAAAACAAGGCACGAAACACTTTTGATGTCCTCTGTCCATCTCGCCAAAACAAAAACTCATGACATAAAGGCCCTAAAACGGGGAAACATTACTGTAAATATAAAAGAAACACTACCTTTTATAATTCAATCTCTTCTCAAAGATCACTTACTCACCCAAAACCAAAAAAATACGAAAAAACTGAACCTATAAAATTTTTACTTAAATTTTTCTCACAATTATATACATAAATGTTAAACCTAAAAAACCCCAACAAATTTATTTTTTTTAAATACACTACCTAAAAGAATACTCCATTTACTGAATTTTCAACAATGCCCCGAACCATATACCTGTCTTTGTTCTCACTTGTGCTTTTTTATTATCTTTTTACAAAAATGTTTTTTCACATTTATCATTGCTTTGTTAATCTTTAAATTAATTTTAAGCCCCCCGAATGCTATGATATTAAGTGGCTTTGGGGACGCTCTTTTTGTATTTTTTTTTTACCTCTGTATGTTGCTCAAATTTAAAAAAAATTAAAAATAA